AACAAGATGAATAGAAGAAGCTGTTTCATTTCGAGAGGAGAATATAATCTTTGACTTTAACTTTCTGACCTTTGAGGAAGAGGAGTGTCCCCTGAATGGCCTTGCTGTTTCAGACATTATTTACAAATGCTTCAAATGTATGACTCTCCTAAAGGAGAATGTTTTTTTCAAGAGCCAAGAGCCTGCATGTTACATTCAGGGAACATGGGAATTATATGCCTCTTCAATCAATTTCAATACTTCCTCCAGCTGGAAAACAGTGGTCATCCCCTTTTAAAAAGCACACTGTGCTGAAGCCAAAGATGGTCTTAGTAAACTCTGTGCGGAAATCCCTGCTAATGCTCCCAGTATAACTAGATCCCAGATTGCTGGGGTGCCAGGGAACTAGAGGTGACATGGAGCTGCTCTACAGATAAGCAATTTTCTCATGTGGCCGTATCGCATGTATTTTGGGATTGAGTTCAGGCTCCAGGATCTGATATCTCAGATTCTCCTAGAAACATCACTGGCCTTCTGTTCCCATTCACAGGGCTGAGGAGCCACAAGGCCAACACAGTGGGACCACAGTTCTTGGAGGCCTGCATGAGCTAGTGCAGTAAAGGTAAAAGCAGCAGCAGATAGCTCAGGGCATCTTATGCCTGTTCCTCAGGAAATACATGTCTGTAGTAACATTAACCAGCTTTCCAATATTAACTAAGTGAGTTTGTCCTAGGATGGCTCTGGAAGAAGGTCCTGGAGATTGAGCTGTAAGGTTGTATTTGCTGGGATACAAAATAAACCTCAGTTAAATACCTTTATGTAAAAAAAAAAAAAAAAAAAGAAGAAGAAAAGGAAAAGCGGGGAGGGGAATTGTGTTGCGCAGAAGTGCATGTTTCTGCCACATCTGTTCCTGGATGTGTATGTCTGCTGTTGGTAATCTCTGAGAAACCTGCATAGGATCTCATCAGTTTCAATATGAAACTGGCAGGTTGAGTCAAGAAAACAAATAAATTCTTTAAGCCCCGTAACTCTTGGAAAATGTAATTGTTGCCTGGACAATGTAACTGTTACAGAGAGCAGCCACAGCTTCAGACAGACCTTCTGGCACTTGAACTGCTGGTTGTTTGGAGAGAGGAAACAGTCATAAACAATCTGTGCAGACTTGGGGCTGTTCTGTGACATGTGTTTGCTTTGGAGAGTATGGATCAAGCTTTCAATTTCCTGACAAAGAGAAAAGTCTGAACTCTAATGGGTCCACTTAATAACTTTGTCTCTGCATCTGCAATGGATTTGCTTCCTTTATGGTTTGAATCAGCACAGGGTTTATTTTACTGTGGTGGTATTCCTTAGCCAGGTAAAATAATAGGAGCTCTTCTGCCTCCTGTGAGGAATGTTAATTATTTTCAGTATGGTAAAAATGTGCAGAATCCATGACAAAGCTTGGCATGGTGAGGAAGGAAACAAAGTACTTGTAAAAAACCCATAACTAAACACCAAGTGCAAAACTGTGAGGCTGGAAAATATTAGTATATTTATTTTAAATATGGGATTACTGTGCAGGTAAACTGGGAATTAATGGTTAGAAGATGAGCTGTAAAAGAGAACTGCTGGGCTCTAAGAGTAAGGGTATAGATGCTACCAAGCAAAGTCCATAACCATGTATTTGGCTTTAACCGTATTGTTAAGCAAAGTGTTTACTTGTGTGTTTCAGTCAGCGTGATGGTGTCATAAATTAGCATTCCAATAAGTATTAGCAGGACTCAAAAACCACAGGAGTCTTCCAGCTATAAAACCACGTCAAATTCTAACAAACCATTTGCATAGAACATATACATAGGGAAGACCTGGGTTTATTCATTTTAGGGAAGACCACCTCATGAGAAATGTAGTCTTGAAGAGGAAAAGCCAAGAGAAATCATGCAGAATACCTGCTTTTGTATTTGCCAGAGACCCCTCTACAGTGACAGCTGGAAGCAGAAGGGATCAAATACCCAAGGTGAGAGCTAATTTAAAATAAAGAGATTTGTCACACCTCAGTATTGTCAGTTTTCTTAAAATGCCTTTCTGTCCATATTTGATTTCTTAAAGAAGGATTCATTGCACATTAAAATTCAAGGATGCTGAGAAATTCTGCACTGTGGACTGTCTTTGAATATGGATTTTTGTATATGTCACACATGATCCACGAGGCACCACATGTCATTGCATATTTTCCTGTATTACTTTTCCACTTTTTACTTTTACGTATAATCACATACTAATATGCGTTTGCTGATTCAGTCAAGAAACAGGAGTCAGCAGCATGTTAATAGCCATTTCTCCACAGATAGTTTCTTGACAGCTTGTTTCTGGAACATGGTAAATACCATTATAGGTTGGGGCAGAAACTGTAATAAATAATGATACTGTATATGCACACACATTTTTGTTGTGCCTTATATGCGTATACATTTTGAGGTCCTACCCATGATAGCCCAGATCTGCTTTGCAGATTATTTGGAAAATGGGTTCTCTCTGTCAAGTGCATCTTAAACAGAGTGCAAGATACAGACCAGAAGTGTGATGAGCAAACAAGGTTTTTTGAATTTGGAAATACCAGTGGAAGCAAAGTTGTGAATGAGGTCTCCTGGGCTTAGGATATGGGAATTCTAGTTGCTGCACGCTGAAGTTGAACATTTCAGACAAGTCACATCTGTAGCAGCAAAAGGTGAAAAAAGCAGGGGGGGTTGAGCTACAATATGGCAGTTTGTGTTGCTTATACGTTAGCATAGCAACTAGCATTCACCCAGATGCTATTTAGACAGGGTAAAGGGAATAAAACAGAAAAGAAACCATTCCCAGGGGACAATAGGCAGGAGACCACTCTTTTGGAGAGGGGCTTTTCACTGCATGGTGTAGAATCCTCTTTGGGATCACAAGATAACTGTAGTGGAAAGGGACCTCAGCAGGTCTTTATTCAGCCCCAAGGATGATCCCTGAACAGCCTCACTGGGCAACCTGCTCTACTGTCTCACTCTCCTCATAGAGCAAAAGTTTTTCTTTATATCCCCCTGAACAGCTGTTTGTCCCAGTTTGGTGTCATATGTGAACTTGGTGAGGGTGTGCTCTGTTGCCTCCTCAAGGTCGCTGATAAAGATGTTAAGTAGGAAAGGTCCCACGGTAGACCCTTAGTCACATTGCTCTGCTTGTAATGGGCACCCAGACAGGGCATCACCCCTCAACTGCTACCCTCTCAGCTTGTCACCAATCTTTTGCCCACCATTTTGTCTGTCCATCCAGACCATAACATCCTAATTTGGATAACTATATGCAGAAGGAGCTTGTATCTGCCTTGCTAACACAGAAGGCAGAATGAGAGCTTGAAAGAAATTGGAAGAAATATGTCTTAAGGAGGCACTTCAAGAGAATAAGGTCAAACAAGGCTCTCAGGTAGAAGAAAACTCTGTAAGAGAGACTGTCCAGGCTGAGAGTGTATATGGAAGTGTCAAGATAGGCCAGTAGCTTGAATGAAACAAACTGGGCTCCAGACTGAGTGACTGAGGCTGGTAATGCAGGGTAAAAATGGTTTTATAATGAACCCATAATTACAAACTATGCACCAGAAGCTTTTCACAAGCCAACTGACAGGTCTTCTCAGAGGTTTTACAGTTCTCCCCTCCCAGAAGAACATGAGAACATGGGATTTTTACCCTGCTTAAAGAGAGAAACTCTTCGCCTGCCTTTTCTGCATGGCAAGACAGTAGTAGCAGCTGACCTGTATAAGGCATTCTTTTAAGCACGAAAATAGAGTGTTGTCATTGTTGGAAATAGAAGGACAGTACAAGAGTCCATATGCAGCTGGGGTGGAAATGCTGCATGAGTAACTTTTACATTGGGATTTGCATTACTCTGAATGTCAATTTGCAAGGCTGAGACTAGTTGTCCTAGTTGTTCGTAGTTGTGAGGAGGACGTCTGAGGAAAGCAGAATTGTCAACGACAACAGAAGAGGTCAGAGAAGATTTCTATTGTCTCTCTGAAAATACATGCAATATCAGATGAGTAGGAGATTGGAAGAACTGCTTAAAAGTTAGGGTGAGTTTCCCTCAAAGGGAAGAGCCTGGGCAAGTAGGTAAATAAACCCACAGGGTAGAAAATCTCCGCAAGCAGTGTGGGCTGGAAAGGCGGTAGGAGAATGTTCAAAGACTTTGTTACAGAGTTCCTGTAATTTAAAATCTTTAACTGTAATAATGAAAGAATATTTGTTTTCCTCCTGGCTGCCAGGAGACTGAAGGATGGAAAGCAAGCCACTGCTGTTTGTGTTTGGCCAGTAGCCAGCAGGACAAGTAAGACCAACAGGCATGTAAACAGTTTGTATGCATCTCAATGGGAAGTTTACTTCAAAGCTGAGTTCTGAAGCAAAGATTCAAGCACAGATTCACACCCACCACCCCAATTTTCTTCTTTTCTTTTTTTTTTTTTTTTAAGTGCAGATGGGTTATTCTTTGTATTGGTGAGAATAGCTGGATTAGTAGCCCTGGAGAGTAAAATCATGAGTTCTGTTACAAAGAACAGACAGGAGCAATATCAGCTTCCTCTACGCAGTCTGCGCAGAAGCCACACTTGGTGACACAGGGAAGGTCAGGATGTGTAGCTCATTTTTCCATAGCCTCTGTGAGGTTGCCACCAGCGATTGTGAGGCCATCTTTGTTTTTTAACGTTTGGTCTATGTTCAGTAGCTCATTTTCAATTTGGTCTTCAAACAGCCTTGAGAGAGGGAGCTGCTGCTTGTACCCAGATGTGTTCATCTAGGGCTAGTTACTGCCTTGCGTTGTTCAGTGTAACTCTGCCCTTGTTCTCTTCCCTTAGCCATGGATCCTCCAGAATCCTGTTACTAGACTGGAAATAACTTGCTTAGCCCCATAAAACACAGTTAAAATTTTCTTAAGACAAAGTTTTTTATGGGCCAAGTGGCCAAAGAAAGATGTTTATAGGGACTGCTGGGGAAAAGAGGCTAACAGGTTTGGTTTCTGCTTGAACTCACCAGCATGAATATGGGCATCTCCGGCTATAGCGGCAGCAGTAAAATTGCCATTCACGGTCAAGCACAGATGGAAAATACTGACTCTGGAAACCAGCCACAAGCCCATTGTTTGAGCAAGTTTGATACCTAATAAACATGAGAAAGGGAAGAACATGTAAGAAAAACATGTTATTAGATTCTGTGCTAGTTCCAAGCAGTTCTGAAAACATCATTAAAGATTTTGATTCAGGGTGAAAGTTAAAGGTCTGGCTTTGCATCGGGAAGCACTGTATGCGCTTGCTGTGTATTGAGTAACCACTTTATATAAGAAAGAAGCAGTAGTTAACTAATAATTTCTTAACATTAATGTTGCATTTAAAACTTTTTAAACTATTCTAGGATTCTATGATTCTATGAAAGTATTTAATAATTTCAGCAGGCTAATTGGGCAAGAATATCGTTCTGGTGTTGGCATTCTCAACTGTTTACTGACTTCAGAATAGTCCATTAATATTTTTATCTTTGACTTGGTATTTGAGCATTTGGGGTTCACTGGAGTAAGTTTTTTCAATAGCTTCTCTCCAAAAAAGAAGCCTTACAAACTCTTTTATGCAAGAAGTTCAGCGATTTATTTCTTTCCCAATTACCTGTCTCCAGGAGAAGACACTATTAATTCAAAACATTACAGGCTTGTGATGAGATCATGACTTGATAACAATCACATGAGGAAAATGTTATGAGGTGTTATGAAATTATAAGGCTCACATTAATTTTATGGTTGGATTTTCAAAAGAAAAATCTGCTGTTTCATGCTTTCTGTATACACGGCAGTTCTGTCACACGCATAAATCACTGCCTTCAAGTAGAATAGACATGGTCTCTAAGCATGCAAATATATGCTTCTCTTTCTGCACGCCCTCCTAGCATCTGGACCTTGATACCCAAAGTAATCTGAGTGATAACCAGTTTGAATAGCTTGACTCTTGGAGACTAAAGACAAGGAGAGTGTGAAAACAGACAGCTATTAAGTCAGCTATTGAGTACTCATTCTTTCAAGCACCCTCCTAGCCTTATTGTTTCCCTGTTGGAGAAAATTACAGGAATTTCCATTTTCTTGTCTTTCTTTTCCCTTCATCAAGAAAAACTGGCAGCCTTGAGCTGTAGCAAACCTTCCTTGCAATACCATAATATCAAATACATTGGTATATTCAAAAGACACTTTCAGAAGTAACTTTATGATTAACAAATGTGACAAATGTCTCCTGGTTTCATTCAATGACCTCATGGTTTATTTTAATGACCCTGGAGTTTCCAGAAGGGAAAACACCTAACGGAGCAGACTTTAGTGTTTGGAAAGTCATTTACTTGTGCATGCAAGTGTTCTTGAAAAGCATGAGGCTCAGGACTCTGTATGCAAAAGCTGAAAAACTGATCAATTTTGACGAGTGCAGGGATTAATTCCACTGCCTAAATTTCAGCTTCTACCTTTGAACAAGTGGTCTCTTCTGTATGTCCTTTCTTCCACTGTGTTCTGTTTTTCTGTAAATAGGAGTATTTACATATGTTTGTACCCCTGCATCTCCCACATAGCTGAGGCCACACATAGGTGCTGTGCTTTGTGAGACTCTTTCAAAGACCTTCAGAGTTAAGAAATTAAGGGACTCTGAGTTGCTATGGTATCACACCAAGTAAGGCAGTTTGGCTCTCAGAGGATTTCAGCAGGACTTTGATAGGAAGCTGCTCTGGGTTTTGGCACATAGGCCGTGGGAACATATGGCTAAGATTCTGTGTAAACATATTGGATAGCTGCAGATGATGGGTGTTATCCTAACGGAAGAAAGGTTGATTCACAGAAATATAGGGAATGGTTGTACCTGTTGCAAGATGAGCTTTAATCTGTGTAAAGTAGAACCAGACTTGTATCTCTTCATCTTCTTCTGCCTCTCCCCCAGTTACATGCATTTCCACTGCTCCAGTCCTTGTGCCCCTTTGAGATTTTCTAGGTTTTTTGCCTAGGTGCAATAACAGGAGCATTTCATTTGCCCTTTTCCTTTGCACTTCCTCTCTGAGGCTCACCATTACCTTGCAATGTCCCATCTATTAGTGTCTGATATTTCTTGTCTTTGTAGGAGGTTCTTCCTTATCCTTTTCTCCCCACCTGCTCACATTAAGTCTGAGAAGTCCTGCCCTCTTTGCCCTTTTTTCTTTGCAGCTTTTATTTTCTTGACACCTCTACTAATACAGTCCAATTTTGATGGGAAGATTTATTTTGAGAGAGATGTCACTGATGGACCCCTCTTTTTCTAGTTGATTGAAAAAAATCTAGCTAATATAACTCTCCTATGTCTACATGTGTACATCTTTGGGCAGTAAACTTTAGGAAGGTTTAGTTATTTTTCATCCTGATTCTATCTTCTCGTGAAAAGTTTGATTTAAAAAAAATTAGTGTTTAAAGTTTCCATAAAAATTAGTTTCTTGAATGGAGAGGATAGCTGGACATAAGTCATGTCTTATCATTAAATTGCCATTTTATTTTAAAAATATTCAAAGTAAAATTTGAAATATACTTTTAAGCTTATGTTCAATTCTCCCTTGCTATTTTTGTCTCATACACACCAAGTCCTGCAATCTGTTTATTCAAGCTCAATACTGGGTTCAGGGAAAGGAAAACAGTAGTGACACTGAAGTAGTTTTCTTTAGCTTTGGGATAATATACAATTTTTTTGCCCTGCATGTTTCTAATTTTCAAGTCAAATCCAGGTATTCCTCCAAAAATGAAGAGAGGCTCTCAGAAATTTGAGTGCTTATTTGTCAGCTCGTATACCATTTTTCCTTCTCTTTCCTTTTCCCAGTCAGTCTCTCCTAGAAGCAGAAAGTAATTCTTCAGGGGCTGCAAACAGCCCTCCTCACACACCTTTTCAGTCAGATGCTCTATGCACTAATTGGAAAACAACAATATGTGAGGATTTCTTCCTTCTCTGTTGAATTCACTACTGCTGTCACAGCAAATCCTACAAACCAGCATGGTGAATAAAAGCTAGTGATTTAGGACCTTTGATTTATGGCCAAGTAAGGATAATGTCTTTTCTACTAGAACCACGCTGTAACACTTTGGTTGTAGAGAATTCAGTATTCAGAGTTAAGGTCACTGTTCTCCTCACTCATGAAATCCTGACATGGCTAAGAAGAGACGAAGATACCTCTTAGAAGGTGAATGCAGAAGAGAATGAGAAACCATCTGGGACTGTGTGAGATTAAATTTAGCAATGTATAGGTAATTTTGTTTCCCTAATTGGCTCAAGTTGTGATGCATGAAGAGTTGCCTCTTAGGTTTGGTACTGGGAGGAGAGGAGGTGAGCTGGCTGGGAAAGTGGGAAGGTTGGTGGAGGTGAGGGTCAGGTGCTGTTGAATGGGAAGTTGCCCTTCCCTTCCCTTGTTTACATCAGTAACATCACTGCAGTGTTTCATAGAAAGTAAGTAAAACTATACAGCCTTATTTTGGGAGGAGTTCTGTGTAGTAACAGGGATATGGCAGCTGAGAGTTTCCTGACCTGCTACAGTTGCTGTGAAAAGCCTCTCCTTTTCCAATCTTCTGAACTCCTTAATGAGTGTTGTACAGCTGAGTTCTGTCATGGCAAGCAACCAAAGTGTGCATCCATGTTACCAGTTTAGCTCAGGTCAGTATTGCTTTCCTTGTTAACCAGTGAGCTTGTATCAGAGAGACCAAACTAGAGCTGCTTTGAAACAAACCCACTGAAAACATACATGTGGATTTTAGGTCCATGCATGGCTTGTATTTCAGTCTGCTTCACTGATGCACTTAAATTGTGCCACATTATTTGCACGTGTCGATCTAGTCTCAGCCACCAACTGTGGACCTCATTGACTCAACATTTGCCTGCCAGACTGAAGACAAATATTGTTTGCAACAGTATAATTGTTTTAGGCAATGGCACCAATTGTGGTGAAATTTGATAATTATGCCTACATCTAATTTTTGCTCTGTGCTAGACAAAGCCCCAGAGTGTTGAGCGCTATCTGATGTTGGTGCTACGTTGTAAACCTCTCTCTCAGGCCCCTGTCCTTCAGATATGTCAGGAATTAGCCTGAGCAGCATGCTGTCCTGAAGATGACAACCCAAAGGGGAAGCCTGTTCACTACAAATCCACTCAAGTCAAGATGCAGGAACTGTTGCTGTTTGAGCCTGCATTGCATCCTTGCTGCACCCATTGGGTAGCAATCCCTGAGGCTCCCTGGAATCATGCAGGGTCTGACACACAGAGCAGTCAGTAGTCACTGGGTCATGCTGCATTAATAGTGATTTGTTCCTTGTAACAGGGTGACCTGAGAGTCATTCTATGTACTTGAAAAAAATGCCACTGTTTTGCTGTAGAACAGATGGCTCCTATAAAACTTGCACCATTAATTACTTTAAAGCTATCTGTCTCTCTAGAACCTGTCACAGAAAAATTAACCTATCTATATATTAGGGAGATGTATCAGACAAGGCAAACTGACCCACTAGAAATAACACTGTGTGCGTTCATCTGCAGCCCTCCCTGAGGGGCATACAGAGAGAGGTGGCTTAACCTCATGCAGCTGGTAAGGCCACAGTTAGAAGTGTGGGAGGCATTTTTAATGATAGACTGTTTTCCTGGAGTGTTTTTCCAACAAAATCTCTTACTTTCAGTATCCAAAACTTAATTTCCTTTTGGTACAGCATGGAGGGGATGCCCTGTCCTGCTCTCCTGAGTTATTTTTGCGGAGTGTCTTCCCTCTGTGTAATTTGGTTAGTCATATGATGAAAGCTAATTTAATGGTGAGTTGCCGATGAGTGGGGAGACATAAATGGCTGAGGGCAGGCTCAGGACACTTGAAATGCTGGCACTCAAAGGGAATGACTTTTCTGTGGTTGATTAGGCCATACCAGTCACCAGTGGCCACTTCTATGAGGGGTCTTTACTCTCTGTTGTAGGGTGGTGAGAAATGTTGTCATGACTTTCACATGCCAAAGGCAAGTTCACTGTAATCTTCAGCTATCTTTTTCTTTCATTTAGGGGTCAGTGATGACTTACTTTCTTCTCTCTGCCCGAGGGGCTGATGAGGCTTCCCTATCTATCAAAACACTCTTCCTCGGATGCTCCCAT